TCACGTTTCAACGAACTAATGCGGTTGGAAAAAAAGATTTCTTCCTTGTCTGCTCAAACGTCATCAGCTTTTAGGCAACCATCAGAGTCAAAACGGCGCGGCGGTCCGAAGGTGATTCTTTAACAATTGAAGCGGATAAAAATCGAAAGGCGCCAAATACTGGCTATAGGCAGGATGGACCTTTTTCGATTGGCCTGAGAGGGCCATTTGGGGTCTATTGACTTGCAAAGATTTTGTGAAGTGTTCTCATAGCCCTCTGCATTTGTAGTAGTCCTCTTTGTCATGTATTAGATTAGGAGAACACCCTCCATATCCCAAAAACGGTTGCCATCAGTTTTTCAACAGATGATTGGATGCGTACCTTTCTTGAGGGAGCAGAACCTTTGTGGATCCATTGTCGAGATTCCAACTTCTTTTCTGGGTCCCAATGGTGCACCCAAGTTTCATCGCCAGCCACAATTTGTGCCAAAAAATCAGCAACCTTTTCCAAAGCTGCCTAATGGCATTGCGAACTTTGCATTCTGCATAACTTTTGTTCAGGCGTCAACAGTCGAGGAACCCACCGCGCTGACACTTTGCTCATGTTCAATTAATGGTCGTGAATTATGGTTAACACGCTAGGTTCGCATGTTTCCAATGTCATACAGTCAGAGTCAGCGCAGACCTTTGACACGATGATCTTCGAGAACCATAGTTCTCACCTTGGTTCCAACCTTCGCAACAATTTCATCGTTTGTTGCAGATCTTGGTCTTCGTAATCTTCTAATGCATTGGATTACAATGAAACTTGGGCTGTATACACCCTATTGACAATGCATAAAACATCTTATGTACAAAGGCTGCATAGAAAGTTCCCCAGTTTCTGAAAAAAATATGTATTTTATATAACATAATTATTGATGGAAATTTATTCAGATTTTAAAATAAAAAACACCAGGAACTACTTTATGTATTTTTTCTGTTTTGTTCTCTTTTTTGGGCACGTTGGTAGAACAAAATCTTACATAATTAAATAAAAAATATAACTTTTTGTAATTGAACACTGTACATTTCTACATATTGAAAGAAAATATTCTGCAATATATAAGCATTATCAATTAATTAATAACAATAATAAATAATAATTAATTGTCACTTTCCGCGCATTCCACTGGAGAAGTTGCGAGACACGCTGCTGCTAACAAGGTGAGGAAATATAAGGAAATTATCAATGCAGGTTACCAGTTTTTACCTTTCGCTGTTGAAACCCTTGGGCCGTGGTGTAAGGAAGGTATGCAATTTGTAAATACTTTATGAAAGAAATTGAAAAATGCCACAGGAGAGCACCGTTCAAAAACGTTCCTTATTCAAAAAATTAGTCTGGCCATTCAGCGCGGCAATGCTGCTAGTATTATGGGCACTTTTCCTTCTACAATCTCTTTAGATGAAATTTTCTTCCTCTCTTAAATTTTAAACCTTTTTTAATTGTATGAAATGGATATATTAGAATAATAAAGGGTAACGTGTCAAAAAAAAAATAAATAACAGAGCTACATATAAATAAACATGTAACACAGATGACCATATCCTGGTTAATTAGTCAATTGGTCCATTTTTCCATATTTTATGACGAGGATATGCCGGTATGGTAATTGAATATTTAATGTTCTATACCTTTGTCATGAAATAATTGAGAGTAGTTATTTCTTCAAAATATATATTATGTAAATATATAAAAATCTGAAAAAAAAGATGAAATTTTCTTCCTCTCTTAAATTTTAAACCTTTTTTAATTGTATGAAATGGGTATATTAGAATAATAAAGGGTAACATGTGGCAATTAAAAAAATTGTAGGTATATCAAATCGGAAGAATATAATTTGTTTCAATTTAAAAATCTGTTCCGTTTAGAAAATGTGATTTTGTTGAATATCTTGCGATATCTCATGGTTTTTTTTTGATTTCACCATTGTGGTACTATGAAAAAACCAACTTCGTAGCTCCAACAATAAACCGGTTTTAGTTATAACATTCTAATGTGCGAAAGATTACTCATTTTGTAGTAGATATTAACATTGATTGGAATATACTTTTCCTTTAATTTTGCTAGTTCTTCTAAATATTTTAATAAAACCTTTAGTTCAGTTTAGTTTATACATTTTTGATGACGTGAATGTTGACCAACAGAAATCAATTTAGCTAATTTCATTGGAAAACGTCGAAACTCTATCAAATTAAAGTATTTTGCCGTGCGTACACATATATTTCGACCAAGAGATGGCAAAAAGTCTTGGAACCAAGATAGACGTTTTTTGATTTGCTTGATGTCTAGATTTTCTTATTGTTATATTCTGTATCATGTATGTGTGCCACTGGTTTGGTAAACATTGTGTTCTTGAGCTCCGATTTTAAATTCAAAATTGAATCATATCGAGCAAATAAATATATGAATGTAAGCCGAGACCAAGTGCTCGCAATAAGTACCTAACTGCGAACAACTTAAGAAGCGAGGAAGAAAGACGAAGCGTATACCTACAAGGCGGGGCATAACGAAAACAAAACAGACTGAATAACTCGTTTGGAAGGAAACGTTTACGTCAACCCCTTAAGCAGGGTTTCCACCCCTTCAATAATTTTAAATTGAATGTTGGGTCGAGTTACACATCATTCGAAAGGGCTCTCAATTTGCTATCCACGCCTATGGTTCAATTTTCAAAGTCGAGCGGCCCTTTTGGGTGACTGTAGGGTCGAGTTGCCTTTGGAAGTTCAAGTTAAGCACGATTTCCCATGTAAACAAAAAGGTTACTCGACAGCAACTAATTTTTGATCACATCGTAAGTATGTATTATGAACGTATTCATTCACGTAAAAGCTCGAATATTTATTTGAGTTAATTGTTATTTGACACCCTGTATCTCGCAAAGGACTCTCTCAAACTTGAAGACTATACCATAGGCGTGTAGGAAATTAAGAGCCCTTTCCAATGGTGTGTTACTCAACTCATCGTTCAATTTAAAATTATTGAAAGGGCGACAACGCTGCTTAGGGGGTTGGCGACAGGGGTTTAATTTTTAAAGTAAGTAAACGATGTCCCTCTTCTAACCAAGCTCGACATGTTTTTGCGTTTTTCCCAAAAACTATTTCCTCACGAGTTACTCAGTCTGTTTCGTTTTCACTGTGCCACCCTGTATATTCACGCAGAGGAAGGTTACTCGAAGGGTTGACCTTCTGCCGCCAGAATAGAAAGGAAATGGGAAGCATATAACCAAAGAAAGTTGATAATTGAGATGAAGTACACGGGAGAGACCAAACAAAATAGTTGCTTATGGATTTAATGAAGACGAAAAGGTGGAGAGGAAAAACCAATTTTGGGAAGATCTAAACTTGGTGATAGAGAGCAGTAGAAGAAAGGTAGAAGTACCTACAACGAAGTCAAAAGTAATGGGAAATGGTGATGAGAGAAGAAACAACATCGGAAATAGACTAATACTGCACGATAAACGACCTAATGACCTAATATAACAATAACATACTTTCTATAGCCACAAGAACATACATAAATTTGCAGAAATAGGGAAAGGAAAAGGATGAAAAATCAATAATAGTTTATACGTACTGATCGAAAGTGAAAATAGAGCCGAGATAAGATCGAGACGTAAAAGTCAGGAGAGGACCAAATGTAGATACGGACCATTGTATGATATGAACAACTCATCACAAGGAACATAAGAGAAAAAGTGACCCTTCTGGGTAATAAGCGTCGTAACATGCCCGTAAGACTATCAAAGGAGATGTGCGAGAATTTTAGATTTGAATGAACAAAACAATAAAATTGAGCATCACATCGACAGTATCCGCGACTTTTCCTTAACTTACCGATCACAGTCGAGTACGCCACAATCGTCACTTGATGCGGCACCGTTCTCTTTTGACTTTGAACGAAACTCATAACTTTGTACCGATACACGAAAACATAAAACATTTCCAATGTTAAAAATTGCGAAGGACTATCGAAAAATTAAGCAATAACTGAGAGACCTCTACATTATACATTTTTCTGACATAAGAAGGTGGTGCAACTTCCATGGCCAGCCTCTCGGACCATGCTGAGAAATGGTTGCACATGGAACAGAACGTGCAAAAACACCAAACCTTTTGCTGAGCGGGGCTTATTTATTACAATGCCACGGCATGTATGTCCGTATTTTTTTAGTGTTCGATCTAAATCTAAACAAGATGTACCTACGTATTAAAATATTGTGAGGTAATTTTATACTATTGAATGGGAAACTCATTTAGAGTGCAAACTCCTAACTGAAAACCAAATTTTGTCGCCCTCTCAACTTGCCACCCTGGGAACTTGTCTGGTAAATCGTTCAATACGAACGTCCCGTTCTTTTATCGCCGTTTACACCATTGTTACAACTCTGCTCAAATTGAATTTAATAGTGGTCTTTAATCTATTAAAGATTCAATTAATAAAATCATAAAAGATTATACAAATTTACTATATTTTAGTTGTCATTAAGGAAGAATCAAGCATAAGCTAATTGCTTTTTAATAAGTAAGAAATGAAATGCACTACGGAATAATACAGAGCGTCGTTCCTTCGGATAATGCAATTTCTGCTTTTCTCTAATTCCGATACATTATAGGTACTATTATTACGACAATGGCACCGGTATTGAAATCTAAAGTGAGCTTGGGAAAATCAAATGTGGATAAACTGAGACGTTATTAATCGTTATACATTCGAATAGTCCGTAGATATTTCAACCAGATTGATGTGTCTACACTTAGACGCTATAATATTGGAAATGTGGGAAATGAAATTTCATTAGAACTAGTGCTTAAACTGTTCGAAGTTTCGGCACAAACTCGTCCTCGTGATTATTAGTGGTCCATGTCCAATAACATCATGACAGATAAATACGGCCGTCATTTTCACGTATTAGCGGGTAGTTTAGAATAGTTTACTTACTATCAGATAAACATAAACTTGAAAGCTAAATCAAACTTACCTAAAATGTAGCCTACAAATTGCTCCAGATGACGTAGATGTTGTAGGCGGCACGGGATCCTCATACCTTCTTTGTGCCCAATCCGTAACGCGACCATCTGTTGTAATTACGTAGTGCAAATCCCTTTCGCAGGGACAGGTTGATAGGATTAATACGTGCGCTTCTTCTTCCGGCTGTAAAAAAAATTGGTCACAATATACTGTAGTATAATTTCAAAATAAAATTGAATAAAGATTTTGTTTTTTACACATTAAAAAAAAGCGTTTATCGATTTTATTTATTAAACTATGCAAATCGACTGCAGGGAATCACTAACATTAATCTACTGTGCTTCAATCAATCACTGAAAGAATGAAGTTTCGTATAATAGATATTTATACACAAAAAGTGAGTTTGTTTCTCTAGGGATTGATGCAAACAATACATATAGGTAACACAAATTAGCTAAAATTCCATTCCTTTCGAAAAGAGCGATTAGGTTAAAAATCAACAAATTGAAAGGGAGACCCACGAATTCTGTTGATATATAAATGCTGTTCATTAGTATTTCAGTAAATTAACATTAACGTTGGTAAGTTCGGGTTAAGCCACCAACATTCTAGGGAAAATCACCGTGATCCACTTACTTGAGCCAGTTCGAGGCTCCTTCCGTTACAAACAAATGGACAGTAGAAGAGAAGGCAACTTTCATGATAGTTGCGTTACGTGGAGATGCGCTCAATGTTTTTCGTACAATTCCAGAACACCAACAATAAGATTTTGAGCAAACTGTATCAGGGTTAGAAGCTCGGTATGGCGATAAACTTTTACAGCCAGGGTATTACGCTCAATTGATAAACCGAACTCAAAAAAGGCGTTGGCACATGTCCTGGAGTTTGATATCCTCGAACATGTGTCTTGTGTATTTGGACGACCTAATTGTGATTGGTCGAACGTTCGATGAGCACCCCAAAAATCTCGAAAACGTGTTAACGGAGGAACACAGAGATTTCAAATGGGATGATGGATGTAAGCGAGCTTTTGAAGCTCTAATTACGGATCAAGTGTTCAGCTATCCTAGAAGAGACAGAAACTTCGTGTTAGGTACAGACGCTAGGAATGTTGAATGGGCGTTGTACTGTCCCAAATGCAAATGCAAGTTAGACTAGAGAGTCACCGGATATTTCCGTAAAGCCTTCTCTAAACCGAAACACAATTACTGTGCTACCCGAAGGGAATTGTTATAGCCATCATTAAGTCAGAACGTTTCCATAAGTACGAGTATGGCCAGAAGTTCTTCTTTTGCGCCTCGACTTTCGCTTATGTGACGAGAAATAGATACTGTACAAATGTACACGGTTTACCATCAGTATTAATTCACCCGATTTCTTTTAAATGTATACTATTAACAGTATGGTGTCGATGAGAAGGATTGCTTTGGACAATTAGACGTAGTGTGCAGAAAATATGTTTCGTTGGTTACACCCTCTCTCCATATGTCAATGTACTGTAGGAATTGGGTTTGTAATCCAATATACAAGAAATTTGTTACTAGTTACACGAAAAATAGCTAATGGATATTTCGTCAAGGACATTACTAGAAATAGATTTCATATTAAAATAATATTTAACGAATTTTCGCTCCTCACCATGAGGATCTTATTTATCGACGATCATGGCGAAATTGAGGCTTTCTACATTTAAAGCTGACTCTATTTTTTTTACTAAAATTATTTTTCTATTAAGTTTCCCATGAAGTGTGGAATACAAGATCTAATTACTTAATTTTCAAGAAAGTTCGTAGGAAAAGAAGACGTTAATTTATTGTTCTTCATATTGGATTTAAACTCTGACGGGGTTTAAAAAATTTGAGATATTTGGAACATCGTGTTCTTCAAATTTCCAAAGTTGCGACCGAATACGTTAAAAATATCAAGACCTACGGTCGTAAATGTGCTTTTTTGTAATCATTGCATGAAAAGATAATGTTTCCTATCCTCGTCAAAATTCCTTCAGTCTCAATGCGCGAAATTGAACTTCGCGCTCTTGTTATATAAGTAATAGACTGGTTCACTTTTCGACGATTCTATGTCTTAGGGGCATTTCAGACAACATTTGGTCAAATAGGCTTTTGTTACTAATTGGTACCTGCTGAACACGAATATCGATGTTGGCACCTCGAAATCTGAACAGGAAGTCCAGAATTCAAGATGGCGGCCAATTTCCGAAAATGTTGATATTTTCACTCATGCGACTGATTTTTTCGATCTAAAAACGGATTATAATGTTATTCCTGACGGAGGTACGGCACGATAATAATCGTGACAAAATGTTTAAACAATGATTTCATAGTTTTTCTAACCTGAAAGTGCCTAAAAATGGAAACTTTTTTTCGTAGTACTATGGTTACTGTTTAAATTTCTTCACGTCGTGTAATTATTAAATTATTTCTGTTTTGGCAAGCATTTTAGTTACTGTGCGTCGTGTGATTGCTGGAGGTTTCAATGATTAAAGAAACGTTTTCTGTAACCGTCAGACGACACAGATTTCCTCCTTAGAAACGACCCATTTTTTCAATCTAAAAACAGATTATAATGTTATTCCTGAGGTACTTCACGATAATAATAGTTAACTATTGTTTTAACAATAATGTAATAGGAGGATGCAGGATGCGTAAAATTAAGAATTACGAAATTCCCAGTTCCCCTATTGCTAAAAGGAGGACATGCAAAACGATTGTTTCCAGTAATCCTGACACATATACCTAAGTATTCCCGACATGCGTTTATATTGCATAATTCTCCTTATAAAGTTTTGATAAACACTATCTTTCGAATTTTACGTTCATTTTTAAATGACAAAAATGAAGGGAGTTCGACTATACTGCGGTGTTTCGGAAGATTCTTATTTTGCTAGGTATTAATTACCGTTCCTCAGGATATATTATTATTATTAAAAGATGAAAGCATATAGAAAAGTGAATACACCTTCGTTATTCTCATGGTGTTAAGTCAATCGTCTTCTTGACAATTAGGTAGTACAAATCAATTGAGCTTTGCGATATTTTTACAAAGTTTTGACGAGCAATCCTATTTACAACGACAAAGGACGATATCTAGAGCAGCCTTCGGAATTAATCTAACGTTGGGAGAATGGGAATGTAGCTATTTTCAATTCAGGATAGATAAGGTAGTCTGAGCGACATTTCATAGTTTATAAGATAAAAAAAGTACATCTTGAGATTTACACCTGATATGCCGTAATGATGGAAATGGATGAAATGCTAGAGAAGATTAGATGGAATCCCAAGAGAATGGAGTTCAGAATTGTTAGATCTAAAGCTTCGCATCTCTTGAAACCTCGAAGTGATGAAGAAGCAACAGGAATGCATCTGTATCTGTAGCGTTTTTCTAGTATCCGCTTGCTTGATGTGAAAAGCTTCTAGTTCTAAGGAGGAAATCTGTGTCGTCTGACGGTTGACGGTTACAGAAAACTTTTCTTTCATCGTTGAAGCCTCTCGCAATTACCAGTACGACGTCAAATGAGGCCTCTTCAAGGTGATGCTGGTGATGCGACAAGATTTCTTTTGTTTTCCTCAAATAAAAGGTAATTCTTCCATATGAGGTCATGGACCATCGCGGATATCTTTCACACGACGCACAGAAACCAAAATGCTTGCCAAAAGAGAAATAATTTAATAATTACACGATGTGAAGAAATTTAAACAGTAGGCATAGTACTATGAAAAAAAGGAATCCACTTTTACGCACTTTGACGTTAAGCCTAATTTACATTTGGCAAGTTTACTGGCGGAAAGTACTGTCGGTCAGTAAACTTGCCACGTGTAAATGCGCGGAAAGTGCCAGTTAAATAGAAATAGGGTAGCAAGTTTACTGGCAGAAAGTACTTTCCCCCAGTAAACTGGCCAAATGTAAATTAGGCTTTAGAAAAGCTATGAAATCATTGTTTAAACATTTGTTCACTATTATTATCGTGCCGTACCTCCGTCAGGAATAACATTATAATCCGTTTTTAGATCGAAAAAATCGGTCGCATGTGTGAAAATATCAACATTTTCGGAAATTGGCCGCCATCTTGAATTTTGGACTTCCTGTTCAGATTTCGAGGTGCCAACATCGATATTCGTGTTCAGCAGGTCCAAATTAGTAAAAAACGCCTATTTGGCCAAATGTTGTCTGAAATGCCCCTAGAACCTGTTAAAACGCTGTTTATTATAAAAGTGAACCAGTCTATAACTATTTTACACTCGGTTTCAGATACCTAGTGTTCCATTTCATCATAGATTATATGATTTCATGAAAGAGAATACAAATGTAAGTTTTAGTGGTGCACTGTAACTGTGTATCTGTATTGGTGCACGTTCGTAAATAGAACAGTAACAGTAAGCAGTTATAAAATGTTTGAATTGACTTGAACTACTTTAAGCACATCGATTTTCTCAAGCACACTTTCAGTTACAGCAACCATTCACTTACATTCAAATGCAGGTACCTAATGGACAAACTGAGATGCGATCCCTAAAAAACTATATTACCTAAATTTCCACTTACCTGTAATGTATGTTCAACCCCTTCAATAAGCAAGTAGCAATCGGAAGATGAATTCCATTTATAGATAGGTTCCCTTGCTAAAACGTAGTGACTTTCTATTTCTTTTCCCTCCACGGATACTAATTCTGCCTGTAAAGAGAATGAAATTCATTTATATATTTACGGTAGCACAAGATTCCACTAAAGATAGAGAGCTAAGAGCTTTGTTGTGAAATGAAACCCTAATGAAATTAAGTTTTCCGAACATGCACCAAGTTGTGTGCACAGGCTCAAAGTTTTCATGTCGCCTTTACAAACCATAATTTTATACATAAAAGTGTGTAAATAACGTATTTAGACATCTACCGCTTCCCGTTGAAATGGAAGTTATTTATGCACCCGACATAAAACTGGCTAACTAAAGTACCTACTTCTTAATTTTTAATTCGGTGAACAAAGGACTACGTTTTTAACTGAGTAATATTGTTCAATTCCTCTTGAAGTTTGTTGGCAATTTATTAAATTTTTTTTTTAAATAAAAGGAAACGAACTCAGTATGGATTATTTTCAGTAAAGACCTTAAACTGCCTCACATAATTTTACAATGGGAAACGTCGTTTAATACCACCTGACAGTACAAGATCTTGCACTTTAAACCCATAACTGGATTATGTCAAGTTAGGTTGTGAATTGTGTACACATCTCACGAATCGATAGGAATTTTTACATCCCCTTTAGCATTTTTATTCGGTTGTGTGATTACAGTATAAAATAACGGCTTGTACAAAGAAGGAAAATCCATACAAACTTGCTTACATGTACCGATCGTAAAGTGAGTCATAGCCAGCAACATTGAAACGTGTGCTTTAAAGTTCAGGTTAAGATGAAAGAAATAGTTAAAAAGTTAAAGTGATTATAGTTGTCATTTATGTTTATTATTATGGAATATAAATTTACCTTTGTAAGTTTTTGAAATAGAATTTGTCATTAATACTCTAAAAGCACTTTTCCTTTCTATTTTAAAAAGTGGTACATCTACGGTTAGTAGTTTTTTCATTTTTGGCGATCGTGGCAGGACATGATGTTCAGCTGAAGATATCGATCTAAACATTGAAACTAGTGCTGAATATTTGTTAAAATTTAGCACTATGAAACGATTGATCAGCTTGTTATGAATTATCGTTTTAAGGATTTATACAATGGCGAAAACACGACCGTGTAGGATCCGCGTTTTATAAACTTCTCTAGACACTCGTTATAAATACTTACTTCGCTCATGTTTAAAATAAAACTCGTGTCTAAAGTGTCGTTTATAAAACTTCACACATGATATACTATTATTCAATCGGATTACGTCACCCTTCTGAATAATAAGCGTTGTGACATGCTCGCAATACCATCAAACAAGATGTGAGAGAATTTTAGATTGAAATTAACAAAACAATTGAGCACTATTAAGTAAGTACCGTATCGACAGCATGTGCAACTTTCCCTTCATCTACCGATCACAGTGGAGTACGGTAAATCATCATTTGATGCGACACGGTTGTCATTTCTGCTTAAACTAAACTCGTATACCCATATACCACAGACAAAATCATATACGTACGAAACCATAAACATTTCCAATGTTAAAACGAGACGTTTGGGCAAGTTTGTTGCACAAATTATTGGCAACAATGGTACAACCAGAAATGTTAGATGCACCATTGATACCCGAATTGAAAAACCGTACATCAACCAATTCTTATCCGAGGAATTAAATCTAATAATTTATTTATTTATTTTCTATTTTGAGTAGACCAAATTTTAAACTCAATAATTGACGGACCTTCCTAAATTTTGCGATGTCAAAAAGAAATAAATTAAAAAAAAATTCTAAACAATTTTAAATTGAAATATGTATAATCAAGTAATTTGAAAAAATTCAGCGGCGGCGGCGAATCGATTTTTTTTTTGGTTGTTCAGGTGTAGGGGAATTATATAATGTACATGAGAATTTGGAACGACAATAAAACAAGGAATAGTTACGGCTACGAAACATTAAAAGAATGAAAGCAAAAACCTCTAAAAATTTTAAACCATCAAAAGGTGTCATTTGTAATGGTTTATTTTCTTCATTACAAGCACTACTAGTGTTAGTGTCTCTGCCAATTGGATTCATTAAATTGGAGACTCTGGAATAATGAGTGAACGGATTCTCCTTTAACTCCATAGAAAGGATATAATTGCGTTTTTTCTTCATTATCGTAAGTGCCGCCATTTGCTTTTCATTTACCTGAAGTGTACCTTTTATTTAGGTTCGGCTGTCGTCTGTTATACGACAATTTTGCATCGACAATTGTTGCTTTATCTATTATTAGCCCTCCTATTTAAGTGGTATGTACGAGTACATTTTATGACATCAACGAAGTTTCGGATTGACTTTTAGTTTTAATTTTAGTTCAAACTCAAGTTGAATTCAACTGTAAGGACCGGCTTCGGAAACGATTTACCTACCATTCTATTGATGTATGCAACCTTAGGTCCAATTCAACGTTGCCTGCGATTGCCAACACCTTTGACCGAGCCTTTGACATACAGGGTGACAATTTGAAAATTTACCACCCCTCATATCTTAGTAAATAAACGAGATATTTAAAAAAATCAAAATCCGTTTCGGTAATTCGGAGGGGGAATCACAATAACATAGTTGGCGACGCACCCCCCTCCAACCCCCTGCGCCCCAGCCACCCCAACTTTTAAATCTTAAATAGTGACCCCCCATGTGTGATACGTCGTTGGAAAGCTCTGAAAAAATGCTTTTCAACCATACCAAATAGCATTACATTTAGGTTAGTAATTATCGTGCAAATCAAAAAATAAACATGGAAAATCGTATTTAACTTGAACTTCCAAAGCCGACTTGTCAGCAACTCATTTTTGATCGCCAGTTATAATCTATTCTCAAACTCTTGTCGAACCTTTTCAAATGTTGGTTTTGCAATATTTCGACATTCTTGAATTATTCTCTGTCTTAGTTCGTCTATGTTCGCCGGTTGCGTTTTAAATACGACAGATTTCAAATGTATCATATTAGTTTATTTTTTGATTTGCACGATAATTACTATCCTAAATGTAATGCTATTTGGTATGGTTGGAAAGCATTTTTTCAGAGCTTTCCAACAACGTATCACACATGGGGGGTCACTATTTAAGATTTAAAAGTTGAGGTGGCTGGGGCGCAGGGGGTTGGAGGGGGTGCGTCGCCAACTATGTCATTGTGATTCCCCCTCCAAATTACCGAAACGGATTTTGATTTTTTTAAATATCTCGTTTATTTACTAAGATATGGGGGGTGGTAAGTTTTCAAATTGTCACCCTGTATCTTCTCCCTGCTGATAACGAGCGGTCATTTTCTGGAATTGTGTCCCCGGATCATGAATCAGATTTGATATCAAGGATCGATCCTCAACAAAGAGACAACTTCCGTAACTGGTTAGCGTATTAATTCATAACTATTTTTCCCCTTTTTGTAACACGTTCAAGTAATTTGGTAACATTAATATCTATTTAATATCTGTGCCATCTCCATTAAGTTATGATCGAGTTTGAAACGCGAATATTATTGTAGACCGCAACTATCTTCTGGAGAGGTTGGCCAATTAAGTACCGTACCTGTTATAGAAGCAGATTACAAATAGAGCGAGGCCCATCAGGCATTAATCAAGTAATATGTACCCATCTCTGCTGCTTTGCAGGTTTTTTCTTGATTGTTTTCAGGTTTCTGGGATGTTCACTTCTTGGCGTCGACATCAACCTTATATGTTTTACTTGTACTTGGCCCTATACGTGCGAATTTTTGTCCGGAATATAAATTAATTTGTGGAAAGTTGTTATATGACACAAAAACGCAACACACAAAAATGGGACTATTGACCTTTGAGCTTGACCTTGACCTACTATTCATGGTCACATACTGCTACCAGAGAACTGGTTGCACTGCTCTTTGAGATTCACCTTGATTTACTTTCCAACGTGACCGCAAGGTGGTGAGCGAACTTGAACGATTCAGGTTCGGCCTTGTATCACTACTGAGAATACCTATATGATTAAAATTAAAAAAGGCACAAGTCAAAAAAGGAATTAAACTCCCCTCGCCCCTAATTAATTAAAAGAATTTAACGAGCAGAGGGTTTAAGAAGAGATGAGGTAATATTATTTTTCATAGTATAAATTGTCAAATTGAGAATTAAAATAGACGTGATTCAGATTTTTTGGAATAGTACATCATGACGCTAAAATTAATTTATTCCGTCCACATTGATCGCTCTGTATGTATATTCTAAGGTACTGCATGTCAAGTTTTTTTATTCGCTTAAAGCTAGATTGTAACTATCCTATTCTACTTCATATTCCATAAATCTCTTTTAGATAAATGTAACCCACAATATATCAGATGAGTTTTAAATTTCAAAAATCCAGTAGCAAAGCGATTGTGCACAAATTAATGCAGTTTGAAAGGCAATTCGTAGAAATCAAACAAGTCTCTGGTAGAAATAGCTAATTGATTCATAAAATATGAATTAAACTTGTCGCGGCATTTAATGCTATAATTTTCATTTGCGAAATACATAAATTCCCGGAAAATTAAAATCTCAAATCACATTTACGCCAGTTAAATCGTGAATTTATAACCTATAAAACTGAATTATGATTTGGTATATAATAGGTATTGATTTCACGTAAAGCTCTACGTTTGGCACAACAAAATATAAAACGCTGACCTGCAAGGCAATTACTTCACTATCTGCCATGATAGCGGGAACCACGAAGGTGCCTTCTCCAGCAGAAATTTCAATATCTTGGCTATAAATGGAGGTCGAATTGTCGTAGACCTTTACACGAACGCGAACCGATTTTTCAGTACTCATCGCTTCCACCTGCAAAGACATTAATTTAGACTCGTGTCATTACTCTAAGCTTAGGTAATGACACTCAAAAGCTAATTCGTATACAAGACAATTACACGAACGCTCGAACCGTAATTAGGTATTCTTAAAGGGTAGATAATAATGAACTTTAATAAAGTCGGGTAGGTTACCTTTCCCACAAACGGAAGTCCGGGTTTGTAACGTCTCCTCATCTCTCTTCCGAAGCGTAGTTCAACATAATGTTCTTCGGCGGCAGAGACATCTGGTAAATCGGTTCCTGCTCCAGGCGAAACCTCTATAGGGGCCGTAAATTCCGCGGATTCAACTTCCACATGCATAAGCCATCTGCCCACTCTAGCGTATTCTGATAATGGCAGACTGAAAGCTTTTATACCTGGGGATAATAATTATTCTGAATTAGTTGACCAAAATTTTATTTTGTGGCGTATAAATACCTTCATCTAGTGGTACTTGATACCATAGTGCCACTTTTGTTCCTGCTGGGTCCTTAATACTAATAGTTGCGATGGCCTCATTTGCTATTTGTAGATCGTGATCTAGTGCTAGTACCCAAAATGATACTGAAACAAAGACAGAAATTAGATTACTTGACGATGTAACTAGGTACATGACGAGAAACTCTTTTACTGTTAATAATATCGACGTAGTCTCCGTTCGCGTCGGGTAATTCACAGTAGTTGATCAAAGTTGTGCTTTAATTAGCAAACCGATAGAATAGGTAAACTTCTCAAGTTATATTAATTACCTCGGTGTTAGTATTTTAGTTTGTTATTGGTAAAATAGGTATGTCTGGATTTAAAGCTACATACGTAAATCAACTATAATGTAAGTCCATAACGAAACTAACGCACTGGGTCCCATGCGGATGTAGTTTCAGCTTTAAACGGGTTAGATGGAACTAAAAGTATTTCCTTTTGTGTGTATTTGATTAAGAAAAAGTGTGCGCCATGCAGATCTGCAGATTTGTTAAATATGTGGGGAATGATTTATCACCCTGACTGAATGATTAGACACGGTCGTCTTGATAGATAATCCGCCGTTAGGCGTTAACTAACCACGTAATAAAAAAGAATCAATTTTCCAGAGTATAGTATAGTTTTTTAGTCCGTCCATCACACGTACTACTTCTACACGACTGAACCGATTTGTCGTTGGAGAGAGGCACGGAAGAGTTTTTGCAGCTGCGTCCCGCCCAAATAAAATTCTAACAAAAGGTTCATATTGCGGTTAACCCATATTGGGGTTATAACCCAGCTAGCTTTAGACGAGGGGATGGTTCCTACACGGACAACCAGATGGTGGATGTGGCGAGGGTGACCTGGGCGGTGAAGTCGTTCTCAGCACACAAATCACTAGGATTGGGAGGGGGGGGGGGTATACCAGCCGTCCTGCAATGGGGAAGGGATGTTATTGTCATCTATCCAGTGAGATTATATGGGCTGGATCGCGCTTCGGTACATACCTAAACAATGGAGGGAGATCAAAATTTGTCTTTATCTCCAAACCTGGCTAAGGTGATTACTCTACACGTAAAGCATATCGCCCAATCAGTTTGATGTCTTTTCTTCTTAAGACACTTGAAAGACTGGATTATAAACAGTCCACGCTGCGAAAACTTGTAGCTGTAGACTGCCGTGATAAGACCTATGCTAGGCTATGGAGCATTTGTCTGGTGGCCTAGAACCAGACTCTTCATAACCGTAGCACTTCTCAATCATGTGCAAAACTTGCGCGGCTTGCTTGCACGGGCGCGATGCGAACAACATTCAAGGCTCCTTTGAGTCTGCCTCCACTAGATCTCCACGTGAGAGTGAATGCCACTCTGGCATCTTTGCGTCTGAAAAATAAGGGAATGTTGAATAGCAGAGGTATTGAGGTGGGACATTCTCGAATTCTGTGCGAGGCGATCAGGCTCACTCACTCCTCAATCCATGTTAGGGGAAAATACAGGCACCGCATGGGTTTGGTAGAAGCATCATCTTATACAGGCAGAGTTGGACTGGGTCAAGCATAGAGTGACCCAGTGACCCGGTGACCCAGTTAGTTTACTGGCCCAGTGACCCGGTGACCCAGTGACCCTGTGACCCAGTGACCCGGTGACCCAGTGACCCGGTGACCCAGTTGACCCGGGGACCCAGCTTGACCCGGTGATCCAGCTTTACTCAGTGACCCGTCTTGACCCGGTGGCCCAGTAATTAAATTATTGTTAGGTATCATCCAAAACAATTTCCAGTAACTTTTAATTTAAAAAAAACTTCATCAATAATATTCGGCAACAAGCACGTAGCCCAATTTCATTCAAGAGAACTAATACCTAAAAAAATCAAATGCATTTGTTTAGTTTGTAGTCAAGTAGTCAATGAAAGTATTTAGAGAAAAGATTTATTTGGATTAAGCTAACTAGTAGAAAAAAATTAAATGTGAATGAACACCTGTAAGCAAACTGGTAAACCCTGAAGCAAAGAAATAACATTATTCTAATACAATTCGGGACATGGAAAGCTTTTACGGCAGTATTAAAGCAAACATCACAGAAATGGCAGTTGTCAAGCAATCGAGTATTATTTTCAACAAACCAGCATATCATTTATTTCATAATCTGTACACTTGAACCGAGGGCACTGACTTAACTGCGTTATTCGATCAAACTAGGTGACTGGATCGAATTGGGTCCCCGGATGAAATTGGGTCGCTGGGTCAAACTGGGTCACTGGGTCAAACTGGGTCAAGTTGGGTCACTGGGTCTAACTGAAAAGAGTATGACGTGACCCAGCGACCCAGTGACCCAGTCTCTCTGTATACAGGATGTTACACAGACGATGAGATGGTACGCCACATTCATTGTGAATGTACCACTGTAGTCTAACTGAAGCGATCCATGTTAGGGGATCCCGGCCGGACATGGCTACGATTAGATCTGCCTCCCCTTCCGGCACCCTCGCGCGTGGAATGGCTAGTTAGGGAGCTAGTACAAAGGGCCCGAATTTGAGCTCTAGGTACGTGTGGACTCTGTCCTCCCTCCTATCGTAATCCAGAATAACGAGAGTTCAATATTTGTTCTAGTACATTGGAAGGTGCCTGTGCTTTTCTCTTTTTAGTATGAGAGTTGGGTCGATGATAAGTTCGTATAGTTTAATGTCACCAAAAAAACACACGTATGTGAACAAAGCACAACCAAAACGTAGAAGTAGTAAAAAAGATCATTCTCGCGAAGAAATTAATTCAAAAGGAATGCATGGATTCAAAAAGCTTAAGACAGCTGTCACGTAATAGATAGATAAGCCATACGTTTTTTATGACAACTAGTAAACACAAGCGATCTGACCATATCAATAAATGACGGAACGTCAGTTATTAGTGTCCCTGAAGAATCACTTAAAAACCATTGGCGAATATATTCTATCGTCAATTTATTTTTGGTCTTAATTTTAAATAAGCACAGTTTTATCCGCCACTGCTTTTTAGACCCCATATCATGTACCCTTGGATCTTCCTCATGTCTTCAGTAACGTCTTTGTTTTAAATCGTATTTGGCGCCCCCTTGTCGAGAGTTGGTGTTTTTACACGGTAAAAAGAGGTCATGTTAGGTTACAAATCCTACGCTGCGAATTAAGCATGCTTTGGGAAAAGTTAAGTAAACTCTGTCGTGTCAGTTTTCTGTAGCCAGACCTGAAAATTGACGAACCAATGAAAATTGACAAAGTATCTCTGCCATTACTATTCCATCATTAAATAGGCGTTAAAAAATGACTTAGTATTGAGAGAGGGGATTATTTTTGGCACGAAGTTAAGCATTGTTGGTTTGGCGATCGAGGGGATACCATATGAGTTTCGCATAGCGACCTTTGAGTAAGACCCAGCGTAATTTACCGCATCAAGCGCGACCGACAGTTGTAAAAAAGGAGTTTATAAACCGACAGGCTATTCAACAAATTCCAAAAAACTTCACCGCGTATCGACGCAGTGTCACAAACTGAACAGAGAGCTAAAAATCTAATTTCATGTTTAAAACGAAGTTGCGACAAAGAAAACTGTAAAACCAGATAATATTCGAGCTCATGATTTGTGCTGCTAAAGTAGCAGCAACTAGTGAAAGAGTTTACTTAAGGGATTTCCTAAACATTAAATCCAGTTTTTAATATCAAACCCGTGTAAATCGAGTTTATGCCAAAGCTCACTTTCGCCAACAAAAAGTGCACTGGAATTTTTAAATAATTGTTATGATACAGTTTTATGGTTGCAATTTCACGTTTAATAAAATAAGCAATTGTTTATTTGCAACGGAAGTACCCCACATGGGACTTCTTGGGAGTTATCGAGTATCGCATATCATCGAATAATCTCCCCGGCCGCTATAACTATAGCTATAACTATATCACAGATAAAGGATATTTTATCTGTTTTGAATATCACGTTTTAATTATCGTAAGTAATTGCAAAAGTGCATCAAAATTACCGATAATTTTTTTGAAAGCATGTTGTCTAAAAACTGCAAGAGTTTATTTTCATATTTTGGCGAAAGAGCCCGACACCGAAGGTGGAGGGCTCTTTTAACAAAATATGAAAATGACCGAATGCAGTTTTTTACTGACAACATGCTTGAATAAAAAATTATCAGGTTTATTTTGATGCACGAGTGTAATTTAGGGGAATATTTCCCGAACAAGCATTACTTGTCAAACTGACGTTACCTACTTATAAATTGTCGGCATATTATGAAAGTGTCCAAACCCAAAGGAGTTGCCAGTTGCCATGGATATGGACAGTGCAATTATCGCAAGGCTCTTTCGCTTTCTACAGTGCAATTATCGCTGTAATTGAGCGATAATTGCACACCTCATATGGCATTTATGACATATGAGGGAAATATTCACAGATATGGTCATATTATCGCATGCACCTACTTATGTGCTTTACCCTTGACATGCTTTATACCCATTAGTGTGGTGATGATGTTGATGAATAAATTACTTGCCTTACATCTCATGTATCTACAATGTTATGCAAACATAGGGGCTAAATATATGTACCTACTCTAATTGCAATCTACATTCAATATTAAGAAAGCCTTCGATACCTACAAACATTATTAGAAATGCGTTTCACGGCATGTACAAAATATAGCCACTTACTTCAGTCCTTCGGGAAAGCCCGGTCGCCCTTTAACGACAGAGCTTTATTTGATTAGTTTCAGCTTGCTCCAAATTTAGAAATTCTTGTGTGCCATAGAAAACCCGATTTCTAATTAATTAACGATTTTCGAGTATGGGAGGAAGGATAAGACTCGATTCCTAAACTTGACAGCCATTAATCATTGGCGATTAGTACGCTGATACGTCTATCTATTGTGTTTGTAAAACAATCTCCTAAAGATTATCCAAAGCGTTAGCTAGAAACGTCGCTACTTGGCTTAAATTTGCCTAGTTTATAAGGGTTTTGTTTTTCGTGCACATAGCACGATATGAGAATGAATGAAACTTCAATTGGCATGCATAAAAGATTGAGTTCAATAAGTTCAATACCCCAATCACAGTAAACACATTCAAGTCTGAATTATTTGCTGACGACCGATAGAGTTGTACTAAATGGCTATTACTTTGAATTCAGTGCGCGTAAAATTGTTATTCATGAGTTTGAAAAACAAGTAAGCTCACCAATTTCTCCTGGTTTATATGCGTGTTTTGCGGGTCGTATAATAACATCTCGGACCGGTCCAACAAGCCGCATTTGTGAAGAGCTTTGTAGTTCGCAAGCATCTCTCTCTGTACAATTCACTAGTGTTTGTAATATGAAATTTCCATTAGCATCCAAGGGGATCTCGAGTGGTAAAATTCCATGTCCTGCAATTAAAAAAAATTTTGACATATAATACCCTTAATCCTTAAATCCTATTATTTAAAAACGTTGTTTCCATTAAAAAAACATTTTATACATGAAATTCGTTGTAATCCTTGTAAAAGCTGCGGTATTTGCGTGTCCTATGATAAAATAATACCAATTTTAACATCTGATGTGAAGGTATTAGGCATCGACATTTTACGAAGGAAGGGAACGCGTTTCAGTATAGTAGGTCACGTAATTGGATGAAGGTTTTGTAATAAGCAAAGCCTTGGAATTGTTGTGCATCCTGCTGTATTGTGATATAAATCTCCCTTGAAAGTAAAGTTCCGTGTAGCGTCGGAAGGATACATCTTTTGAGAGCAGTGAACAAAACATGCGTGTCGTAAACAGTTTTATTATTTTTACATAATCGATCTTTTTTAACTTCGTTTTCGTCAAGCAGAAAAGAAGACAGTGGTGTCGCATCAAGTGATGATTGTTCCGTACTCGATTGCAATCGGTAGATTCAGGAAAAGTCGCGGATAATGTCGATACGGTACTTACTTAACAGTGTGCAATTGTTTTGTTAATTCGAACCTAAATCGCACATCGCCCGTGATAGTATTAAAAGAATGTTACGACGCTTATTTATCAGAAAGTATACGTTTGCGACACGAGCGAGCTTGCGAGCGAGTGGAGCAAGTGATTCCGTGTGAATAAGGGTTATTTGGGTTTTACATATGGCTTTATATACGGTTATCATTTCCAATGTCTCCGATGGTTGCAAGGATTGCGAAATCTGTGAATTCATGCACGATGTGTTGCTAAGTAAGTGCATTTAAGACCTTCGTAAGATGCTTATTTATCTATCGCCAACAACTTTTGATATTCTTTGCAATAGATAGGCATTACTGGATTTTGTAGGTATCGACTTTGCTTCTGCTTCTGCAACAAATCACTGGGCGCTCTTATATCTTTTTCAGCCAATATCATTTTATTTCTAAAGCGCGGTTTAGACGCTACGATCTTGGCTTCGATAAATCGTAACGATCTGATTGTCCAATTTATCGTTCAATAAATCGAAAATGTGCGTACTGTTTACATGTAACGATTTCTTGTTCCAATCTCATTGTCGATCACGGTTTAATACAGTTTTTATTTTTTTACTTTTCAACTTGTCTTTTGGTTTTGTCCATTAATATAAATTATACTCGCATTTTATTGCTTACATTGCTTACTTACAATAGAATCTTAATCTCGATTATGATTTATGAGTAGCCATTCCTCGCTAAATATTTTTTTCGGGTGGCCAAACTTGATCGCCACTCGCCAAATGTAAAACGTGTGGGCTAGAGACAGTCCATGTAGCCCAAATGGATACAAAAATGGTTCACGTCGGCAACATTAGTCACAAATCGTAGCGATAAATCGCTGTTATTGTTTACACGTTCCAATTTATCGCTACGATTCGCAGAAATTGAAGCCGGCCGCCATCAACCATCCAATCCAATTCCAATTCCAATAAATCGCTACAATCCTCTGTTCACACGCAACGATAAATCGTAACGATTCGATCGTAACGATAAATTGTTACAATAAATTTATATACATTTTATATACAGGGTCCTGCAACAGTGCGTTGGTCATTCTTAGCTCAGGGTGCCCCATTTTTACGGTCTCAATACACAGCCACTTTGATAAATCGTAACGAGCTTAATTTTAAAGTTGAATTTACTGATACAGGGTGTTCACAAAAAATAGTAAAATTTCCATATTTCAAAGTGCCATAACTATTTTTTTTTCAAATGGAACTACCACTATTTTATTTCTCTATTCGATAGTCTTTTGTGTGCTCTTTAATTTTTATAAGAAGTGTTCTGTGCCAAAACCCCGTATTTTTTAGGTTATTCAATATTTTTCACAAAAATAGTTACCTATATATTAATTAATTACAAGATAATAAAAAACCAAAGAATGCCAGACGGTAAACAGGTGCCATATGTTTATCGGATTGTGATATAGGTAAAACAAAGATAGGTAATTAAATTAAAGCAAATAGCATAACTTAACAGAAACGTATTTAACTAAATAGGAATCCCATTAAAATATCTTTACCTCGCAAATATAATGAACAATTCTCCATTTACGTAAATACGTTTAGATAAATGATTGGGACAATTTTAAATTAATGACTCTGGATTTTCCCCTTCAGATTTTAACAATTTTTGCAAAGAAGATATAGCCACCTTTTCTTTTAACAACAACGGCCAAAAATGATATTCCCCATTCCCATTTGTTCCCACTTACTCGCCTAACTTAATAAAATCGCATTCACTCACACTGACGGTACATTCACCGCAGCTTACTGCGAAACGTTACAAAATGTGCAAAACATTCTAAAAAAGAAGTAAGAAAAATCCTCTATATATCTCTGGTTTTTCAGCTATTAATTATGAAAGAATCGCAAATTTCGCTACGGGAAATCAACACATTTAGGTACTATGTTGCGTCCCATTGTATAAGTTAATTTTTCGCTTAAAACATTTTTCTTCTATTTACCACTTTACCCCGTTATCCTCTGTTTTCCCTTCCCAACTGACTTAAAGTGGGCTTCGAACAACCACGCGCGATGAAAAAAGGTAGTCGACAAGGGTAGATTGTGATTTCATTGCGTGCTAAAAAGCCACAAAAGTCACCAGCAACTATTTCGGTCGTCCCCAAACAAGAAATTCGATAAATTTGAATTAAGAATTTCGTCGTTCATCACCAGTTATTAGCAGATTCAACAATTCATCGTACTCATCGTCCAGTACCATCCGTAACCCTTTCGTTGTCCGTCGCTTCTTCGTGGATGGACAATGTAACCACCACCGTTCATCTTCGCCGCTTGGCCATTAAAACTACAAGTAAGTTCCTTTTTCTATTAATTTGCCAACCTCAATGTTACAGTGAGCCGTACTTACCGGTACACTAAGAAATGTATACCTAGTAGGTGTTAGTTTGTCATTGTCATTTCATTTCGTTTGTACATCTACATAGTTAATAAATAGTTTGTTTGGGTACATTTATTTTCAATTTCCTCTTTAGAAAACGCATGAGAAAGATTTCCTTCATCATACTACAGTCCACCTAATTAATCGTTTACAAGCGCTTAACATACTATTTATTTGTATGTGTACCTATTATTATTATTATTTAGTACGTTTTTACATTGAACATTTAAATTAATTGTAAAATGAATTGAAAAATATATTTTCAAAATTAATTTTCTCACTTATGATTGTACCAAATAAAAAAAACCGTGAATTGCTAAACAGAAATCCCTTTCAAACATTTTTAATCTAAAATACTTGTAATTCGGAGGGGAAATTAAGAATAAAAATCGAATGTTTCAGGATTTATTTCCAATAGTACTTAATAACACTAAAAGCTTATGACACATTTAGGTGTGGTCCAAAATAATTGAAACCAAATGAAAATGTTATGTGGAACATCGCACATTTTTAATTGTGTCTTTCAGTGTTAATACTGCGAATATATTTTAAAGTTTTCAATAAAATATCGAGCTAATACATCATGGAACCGAAATTTATGTGGAAACTTTGAACGAGAAGAATTGTCTTTCACTGCATTTTACATATTCATCTGTAACGCTGGGAATATTTTAAACTAATTGAAACTGATTCCGCTTTGCAATAAGGGAGTTAGGTTGACTTTTTATTGTTTAAATAAAAGAAATGTTACACCTCTGAAAACATTTTTGATTATACGTGTTTTCTCTCTTCGGGTTAAGGCAGCACTTTTAAGCTAAAAGCTTATGCAAACTAACCGTATCCTTATCCGAGTTTAGTTTGAGATGTAAATCTAAATGTATGAATATATTTACCTTCACGCATGACATCAGTATCGTTCTGTCTCAAATAATTAGGCCCTACGGACTAGATCATACGTCTAAACTAACTTTTAATGCATTAAAATGTTGATATTTACATATATTGATTCTGATTTAAAATTTTAATTGAGATAATTAAGAACATGATTTACTCTATATCTACCATTGAATAAAAACACTATTTTTATTCAATGATATCTACCAATTCGGAAATTAGAGAATTAAATCACAGTATCCTGAAATTCAAAGAATAAAAAGAGAATCCAAACACTCCAATTCCGTTTGGAGGATTACGCTCTGCCAACAATCACGTCTTTAAACAAATATCACTGCTCCAAGGAAGATCGCCCTCTTTCTATCGATAATACACAAGCAAAAGCAAGCGGTTCAAATCTATCTCTTTTGCATTTCCATTATTTACGAGTGTGCGTAAATACCTTGCCAATACATAGGTATATCTTGTGTTCCTAAAAATGACAGTAACCGTCACATAAAAGAGGACATTCTATTCATCTGTGAAGGGATGTCTTAGTTATGTGTTATCGTGCCTTGGATGTCAATGTAAACTTCTATATGATTCATCCTGCCTGATCATCCGGATTACTTGCTGAATCGAGCCTTTTCATATTTTTCCGCAAACGCACAGCGATATAAAAATGGTTTCCTTAAGGACCACATTCAATAAATGCAATAATTCTGAAATTAATAGCTACTATTCACAATTTATATTTACTGCACGTATACGTTTACGTTTTTTGTGTTTGTTGGTGTAGTACGTATAAAATTATGTAAATGTGCTGCTACATCGTGCATTCCGAGGAAAGGTGGAAAGTTCTTATGGTAGAGCAGACTCTTAAAACCTTTTTGTATGATAAAAACGGGGCAGGTAAGCCCCAATTCTTGGTGCGAAGTTTCCGAGATTTTTAACTATTTTCCAAAAAGAATTTGCTATGCTCGCCCAGAATGTTAATTAGCACATTCAGTTTTTCATGTTAGTTTTCTTTTTAGTCGTAGATTTTAGTACCGGTTTATTTTGTTCCACCTGCGTATTTTCTCTCACTTTCCAAGCGGCATTGTCCAGTGTAACTGACGTGAAAGGGAAATGTAAATGGATTTACTGCGTTCTAT